CTCCCTGTAATATTATCCCCCTCCCTGTAATACTCTCCCCCCTCTCTCCCTGTAATATTCTCCCCCCTCCCTCCCTGTAATACTCTCCCCCATCCCTGTAATACTCTCCCTCCCTCCCTGTAATATTCTCCCCCCTCCCTCCCTCCCTGTAATACTCTCCCCCTCCCTCCCTGTAATATTCTCCCCTCCCTCCTGTAATTCTCTCCCCTCCCTCCCTCCCTCCCCTGTAATGCTCTCCCCTCCCTCCTGCTGACCATACCCCCTCCCTCCCACTGTAATATTCTCCCCCTCCTCCTGTAATACTCTCCCTCCCTCCCTCCCTGTAATATTCTCCCCTCCCTCCCTGTAATATTCTCCCCCCTCCCTCCCTGTAATATTATCCCCCCTCCCTCCCTGTAATACTCCCCCCCCTCCAATCTTCTCCTCACCTCCCCTGTAGCGTGGCCGAGCTCCTCTCCGGTCCGCGATCCGGCCGGACTGACAGGAAGTGCACACCCAGTGTGCACTTCCTGTCAGTCCAGCCGGGTCGCGGACCGGAGAGGAGCTCGGCCACGCTACAGGGAAGGGGAGGTGAGGCAGTGCGGCAGCCGTCTGAGCGCTCTCTATAGAGCGCTCAGTCGGCTGTGGCATTTAAAGGCCTGCCTAGGTCTTATTTTCGGGGTATGGCTTATATTGCAGCCCACCCTGATAATCCAGCTCGGGCTTATTTTCGGGGTAGGGTGTATTTTCGGGAAAACAGGGTATGTTTTCATCTTTCAAGTAAATCCATAACCCCTAACAGCAGTGTCCAGTCAAGTAGGAAGTCAATGGGCATGGTAAAAGGGTGTGCCACTGACACAAATCACATAACCTACCAAAAGGGGCGAACATGATGCCAATCATGCAGCTGGCCAACCAAGGGCATACTATGCAGACAGCACCCTGAGCTTGGCATAAATGCATCTAATGATGCACTCACTCAATGCTTTCTAAGGACTGTCCCCTAGCACTCGCTGGTCCACTTGTCTCCTTACCTTCTTACTAGCAGGCAGAAGCTCCTGGTATATGGTCCGGGACAGAGAAAAGCTGTATGTAGTGAGTGTAGAAGAAAGGGAACATGCCACAGTGTTAGAGAGACCAAAGTCAGCATTACCACAAGCATGAATTCATGACCCTATAGTGTTAACACCACCATCTAGCCCCCTGGGCCCCTCATGCCTCCATAAATATAGCAAAATCCTACTATATTCAAGCCTGAAGCTGTAACTCTGCATGCTGTTAGACTCATAAAAACAAGCAGTCTGCTGACATCATTAGAAGTGGTGGCCTGATCCAATCACAGTGCTTCCCCATAGGATTGGCTGAGACTGACAAAGAGGCAGATCAGGGTCAGAGTCAGCATGATTCAAACACAGCCCTAGCCAATCAGCATCTCCTTATATAGATGAATTTAATTAATGAATCTCTATGAGGAAAGTTCAGTGTCTGCATGCAGAGGGAGGAGACACTGAATGTTTGGATGCATTTTAGGCAGCCATGACCCAGGAAGGATCTCTAACCGTCATCTAAGGAGTGGCCAGTGACGTTATCACTAGGATGTAATGTAAAAACAGCATTTTCTCTGAAAAGACCATGATTACAGCAAACAGCCTGATGGTAATGATTCTACTCACCAGAACAAATTCAATAAGCTGTAGTTGTTCTGGTGACTATAGTGTCCCTTTAACTATATTCATCGTCAGCCAGTCCACACAAGTTTACATCCCTCTTAAGTTTCCATACTTAAGTAAGAGTATGTGAAAAGTAGTTAGGGTTGCCACCTTTCTTGGAAAAACATACCGGCCTTACCAATTTATGTGTGGGTGACATCACATGATGTAAATCACAAGGAGTGACATAAGAGAAAATGCTGTAAAATCACCCCAAAACTATTTAGTTTAAATCTGCTGTAAAGATGGATTCCTCCCAGTGCCCCCAGGTCTTCCAGTGCCCTCATGACTCAGTGCCCCCATATGTCGATTACTCCAGGTCTCAGTGTTCCTATGTATCAGTGTCTCAGTGCCCCATGTCTCCCAGTGTCCCTAAGTGTCGTGTCCCCAGGTCTCCCAGTGATCCTATGTATCAGTGTCTCAATGCCATGTGTCTCCCTGTGTCCCCATGTATCCCAGGGTCCCCATGTCACTAGGACACTAGGAAGACGGGGAGACCTGGGGACACGGGGAGACCTAGAGACACGGAGACACCAGTGACACTGGGAGACTAGGGGACTCTGGCTGGGACACATGGGGACAATGGGAAAATAGGGGGCACTTGAAGACATGGGGACACAGACACCAGGGACAAAGATACTAGAGACACTGGCTGGGGGACATTGAGACATGGGGGCACTGGGAGACATGGGGACACTGAGACACCAGGGCCACAGACACTAGGGACACTAGCTTGGTGACATTGTGACACTTGAGGCACTGAGAGACATGGAGGCACTAGGAGACATGGGGACAGTGAGACACTGTCAGACTGGGGGCACTGGCAGACTAGGGGTAACTGGAAGACTAGGGGTCACTGGGAGACTAGAGGCACTGAGACACCAGGGACACTGGCTGGGAGACATGGGGACACTGTGTCCCCATGTGTCTGTGTCATAATGTCTCCCAATGTCCCTTAGTGTCTCAGTGTCTGCCATAATGTCTCCCAATGTCCCTTAGTGTCTCAGTGTATGTCTCCCTGCTGCCTTTCACCCCATCCCTTACTTCCCTGAGCTGTAGGCAGTCTCTGCAGGGTGAGACTTGCTGTCTGGACTCTCTGCAGCTGCACCCCTGCAGATCAGTGAGTATAGATAGGCAGGGAGGGATATGCTGGAACTTCCTATCCCTGCCTGTCTCCACATGCAGCGACCCCTACTGGCCAGTGCTGGTATTGCAGAGTAATCTCTTGTTTATGCTGAGAAAAATACCAGCATTTGTATTGCCGGTATCACTGTAATATTGGCACCAGCCAGGCAGCCTCAAATACTGGCTGTGCCAATAAAATAAAAGCCAGGTGGAATCCCTAAGAGTAGTGTGTGGAAAAAAAAAAAAAGTAAAAAAAAGATTTTTATTTTTTTTTAAATCAGTGGGCCTACTCCATGGGCCTGGGCCTGGAGCTGCAGCTCCATCAGCCCCTATGTTAATCCGGCCCTGCCCACCAGGAGATCTCCAGGAAACACCATTCTTTAAGAATACTGTTGGTACATTTAATCAGTTTCAAAACATTAGTTTCCACTATGGATTTTGGGTTTGCCATTATAGTTATTCCTAGATACTGAAATTCTTTCTTAGACCAATAAAAATTATATTTCTCTTTTAGACTTTGTAGAGAAGAATAATTTAAGTTTATGACTAAAGCTGTTGTTTTGTGTATATTAATTTTATCATTGGAGATATACCCATATTTTTTTTAACTTCTTGCATTAAATTAAACAATGATAAAATAGGATCAACAATAGAAATCAAAACATTGTCTGCATACAGACAAATTTTCATTTCAGATTTACCTATAGACAAACCCTTTATTTCAGTATTATTTCTAATGCTGATCGCAAACGTTTCTATTGACAGGACGTATAAGAGAGGAGATAAAGGGTAACCCTGTCTCGTCCCATTTGCGATCTCAAACCATTCTGTACAGAGATCATGGCCCACTATTTTAGCAGTTGGGCATGAATATAAGGCCCCAAATGATACCAGGGTCTTCTTCATATATCCCCGACCGACCCTGTCGAAGGCCTTTTCTGCATCCACCAACAGGATCAGAAGGGGCTCTGCGTGCTCTAAAATGTCAATCACTCTATGCGAATTGTCACTAGAGTGTGTGCCCTGGACAAAGCCTATTTGGTCTATGTGGATCAGGTCACAAAGAAGTGGGGTTAATCTTCGAGCTAGGACTGAGGCATAGATTTTCATATCTGTACTGATTAATGAAATTGGTCTATAGTTCGTAAAATCTGTTGGGGATATATCTTGTTTCAAAATGGATTTAATGTTGACTCTTAATAATTACTTTATTAAATTACCTGTAGAAGCTTTTTCATTGAATGTTGCTGTTAATATTGAGGAGATAATATCTTTAAATGTCTTGAAAAATAAATTTGAAAAGCCATCAGGGCCCGGTGTTTTTATATTTTGAAGATTATTTATAATGGTATCCACTTCTGCTTGTTTTATCTCTTGGTTTAATTTCTGTTTATGTTCCAAGGTGATTTTTGGAAATTTTGATTTTATTTAGATAATTATCTATATCTAGCTCTGTAGGTTTAGCTGTTAAATTATAGAGTTTCTCATAGTATTGCCTAAAAGAATTACCAATACTTTCTTGGGTAAATAAAACGTTATCTTCTTCGATAATTTTATAGATCTTCTTATCCGCTTTATTTTTTTTAGTCTATTTGTTAATATTCTATCAAATTTATTGTTCCGATAGTAATATTTAATTTTAAGTTTTGAATTAAGTTGAATTCTATCTTCTCTAAGGTCTTTAAATTTATCTTGTTTATATATTCTTTGATTAAATCAACATTCTCCTGTGTGTATTTCTCCCTGTTCTGAGCTGATAAATTATATAACTTTATATAATGATTTGCTAGACTCATCCCTCGTTTCCTTTCTTGACTAGCTAGCTGTATCAGATGGCCTCTGATGACAGCCTTATATGTGCACCAAAGATTGATATTGGATGTATGTTCTGGTAAGTTTTCAGCAAAATTATATATTCTTTGGTTTTTTTTTCAGGTTTAATAAAGAATTATTAAATTTCCATGGAGGGGGTTGTCTTTTTGTTAGTTCATCAATTTCTAATATAAGGAGATCATAGTCAGACCAGGTGTTATCCCTTAAAAAAAACTGATTTTACTTTTTTTTTTACTAGATCCACATCTCCCTAGCACATATCAATTCTAGTTGAAGTTTTGTGAGCTCTGGATTAGTGCGTGTAGTCAGGTTCCCTAAAATGGAATAGTCTACAAATATAAAAACTTTCCTTTCCTTATGGTAAACAATATATCCCTTAAGTTGTTTCACCTGGTATAGCTTTGCGCTCTAGATTAAACATTTTCTATCCTTAAACCATTTTACTGCAAGGAATTCTTGTAGCGAAACAGTTAATATATATTTATCGTTTCAATAATTTAGAGAAAGATTAACATTTAGACCATTTGTTGGTTCTCAGAGAGGGTTGAAGTAGGGTGCATGCACTTTTCATGTACTAATTATTATAATAGTGTTGAAAATAAAGGACAATCATGGTTAATAATAACAGAACTCAGAGCTTCCATGGCTGATTCCCTGCAATAAGCAAAAGGACCATATCAAGACTTTACATTGCACATTATCGTTTCATTGTCGTTTGCCCACCTTGTATGTAATTTTAATTTTACCTATTCAACCCTTCCTTCTTGTGTCCCTTTAGAATGTAAGCCTGTTTGAGCAGGGCCTTCTACACCCTCTGTTCCTCTTACAAATACTTGTCTGTTAGTCCACCTATTGTATAGCACTGATGAATTTCTTGGAGCTTTATAAATAACAAAAACCCCACACACTTATGTGCCAAGTCTACATAATGAAGATGCTTGTTTATCTAGGTTCTTCTCTATCAGGTGGTCTTTATCTAGGATTGGATCTGCCACACAGTTAAAGTCTCCTGCAATAAGAAGGAACAACTCAATATTTTAGATAAATATTTTACTGGGGCTTTATTTGGTAAATATATGTTCGCTGGGGTATATTGTGTCCTATTTGTACCTATCCATATAATAAATCTACCCTCAGGCTCACTTTCGAAGTATTCGCATAGTTGCTTAATTATATTTGAAAAAATTATTGCAACTACTCTTTTCTTTTTTTGCATCATTGAGGCCATATCCACAAGGGGAAACTTTTTGAAATTCCATTGTTGTTTATCCTCCTTTCTCCAATGGGTGTCCTGTATAAAACATATCTGGGCTCCTTTCCTCAGAAGAGTGTTTTACACGAGTCCTCTTTAGTTTGGGGAGCTAAGCCCTTGGACATTAAAAGAGATGAATTTAATCATTTAATTCTTGATTTTCTCATCTTTTTTTTCTTTGCTCTTTTTGTATATTCATAGTTTTTTGGGGGGTTTTTTTTATCACAAATAGCCTTGGTATACTAAACAACATCACACTAAAACAACATATAATACAATACAACATAAAATTGTGCATGTTAAAGAACATCATACAAAAAGAAAACCTACAAGTGTTGCGGCGGTTATAGGTTGGTGGTCATAAAATCTCCAACTTCAAGGTATCAAAATGATACCCATAGGGAGGGAATAAGTTGGTATTTCTTCATAATATTCATAAGCAGTTTATAGGCAAGCCTCTTATGTACTTAAGTATTTTAGCTAATTTGTTTGTATCTCTTTCTCTCCTAATTGGGTGCCTCTTCTGTCATAGTTGTTTGCCTTCTCTCCTTTTACAATTCAAAATTATCTGAGATCTGATGGAATTCAACCATTCCCTTGCCACATCATATGTCTTGAATGTTTGCCAGTCATTGCCGTGCAAAATCTGAAGTGAAGCTGGGTGTTGCCATCTGAATCTTAAATAATGTTTTTCAAAGTCGAGAAGATTGGAGAAAATCCTCTTCTTTTAAGTCTTGTATTATATGAGATATGTGGGAGAGCAAATATATCCTTAAATTTTTCTTCAGAGATTTTCATTTTTTTCAGTGTTAGTAAGATAAGGTTGTTAAACTCGTACGAATGAAATGCGACGATAACATCTCTTGGAAAGTAATTTTTCACATTTGGTGGTTTGTAGATTCTATGACAGCGTTCCCTTTTTGTCTCGTGAGAATCTGTTGAAACGTTCAAGTCCACATAGAATTTGGTCCAAAAGTCTCTTAATTTTTCGTTGCTTATGATTTCTGGGATGTTTCTAAATCTTAAGTTTGTTCTGCGAGCACAATCTTCTAGGTCAGATATGTTATCTTCCAGAGATGCAATTTTTGAATCCATCTTATTGTATGTTTCTTTAAATGTTTGGAACTGAAATTCCATATGTTCTTCTTTCTCTTCTATATTTTGAATTCGAGTTAAGACCTTGGAAAAATCAATTTTAAGATCTGTAAACTTGTCTTGAATTTCCTTTTTTATTTCTTTAAGTGTATTGTCCAAAAGATTTTTCATCACTTCAAGAGCGATATTGTTTGGGTCTGAAAAATTAGGTACTACTGGTAAGGAAGAGTCTAAAGGTGGATCTTCATGTATCTCCTGGTTTGCTTGAGGATAAAAAAAAGGATGACAATCTCTTTTCTTGTTTAGTAGTCTTTTTGTTGTTTTTATTATTCGTTTTGGTATCTTGGGACCGTTTGGTTGCCATTTTCTCTTGCTTGTTCAATGGGTTTATTAAAAAAAAACTAAACTAAACAAAAAAGAAAAAAAACAGAGAACTCGAGGAAGAAGAAGAAAGGAAGGGGGATGATTCACTAAGTTGTTTATAATTATTTTTCTTTGCTCTCTTCCTCTTATGTCACCTCCTCACCCTCCCTCTCTCTCCTTCCACAGATCTTTCCTCTGCTTCTCTATCCCCTCTCCTCCCTCTTTGTGTTTTTGTTCGGGTGTCTCTTTTTCCTTTCTTTATTCGTTTGCAGTCTTATGGGAGCTTTAATTGCTCTTCTAGTCTTCTTTAGCCAAGTTAGTAATTTTGCTGAATGCTGCTTGACAAACCCGATTAAAATGTCGGTCTATTTAAGGGTCTTTAAATAGTTTTTTCTTCAGTTTGTTTTGGTCTGGCTTATGTTTCTTCAGTGTTTGTTTATCTAAACCACTTTTTATTAGATGGTAAGATATATCGAGTTCACTAGGTTTTGGTACCATCTTATATTTTGTTCAAGCTGCACCATTAAACTGAGTCTTTAGTTCTTTCTTATCTATTTTAGTTTTTTGTCTAATTAGTTTGTGTATTTCCTAGTCCTCTCTTTTCTCCTCTTTGCCCCTTTCTATAGTCCACTCTCTATCACATTTGCTTTCTCTTGCTGGAGTAAAAGACATACATGCTTGTCCTTGTAATTTAAAAGGTTTAACAATATACTGGTAAGCTTTTTTTTTTATAAGCTTTTTTTTATCACAAGATTAATCTTATGTGTTAATTCCAGTACAATTAGCAAAAAAAGAAAACGAAAAACACAAAAAGCCAGCAAGAGAGTAAGAAAAAATAAAAAAATAAAACGGAGAAGAGAAAAAAAAAGTGGTGTAAATACAACACAAAGTTATTTGGGTTTTTTCAGTAAGCAGCAGTACTTTGTCAAATTTTTTATTTCTCTTTTGCGTTGGAGTAAGGCTGGTGGAGATTAATTTGGACTCACGTTGCTTCTATTAGAATTTTCTAGCTGAAAGAAGCATTACGTCCAGCGGTTTAACACTCCTAAGTCGGGACCTGGTGAAGTTTACCGACGAGAGGCAGCATTGGATCTGCAACTTTGGAGTTCCTATATCAGACTTCGATAGAGTTGCTGGGTTACTCACGGCAAACAGCTCTCGGTAACACTCGGTGTGGCTCCCGCACAGAGTTTTTTTTAACAGCTTGTCTTTCATGAGTATCTTGACCAGCAGGTTCCCTCCCCTCAGGGCATGCACATTGCTACGTCCTACATGCGGGCCCCCTCCTGTCCTGTTGTGTTTTATGCCCCACCTCCTATACACTGTACACTCGTTTGAGCAGGGCCCTTTTCAACCTTTTGTTCCTGTACGTTTTTGTAATTGTCTCATTTATTGTTGATAATATTGTAATGCGCTACAGAATACGCTATATAAATACCAGTAATAATAATAATAATAATAACCCCCCACTGGATTATTTAACAGCTCTCACCAATGGTGAGCAAAAGGCAACAGGCATGTCTCCCAGATATCTACATTATAGTCCCCACCACCAACCATGAGTGGGGGGGACAGAGTCATATCTACTCCACATAAAATATAGAACCATATTGTCATAGGAGGTGGGAGGATCTGGGAGGGAGGGTCTGCTGCTGATTGGCTGGAATGTGTCTGCTGACTGTGAGGTACAGGGTCATATGTTCGCCGTCCGCGGCAAACCATTCGGCGAACCGTTCGGGACATCACTAGTCAAAAGCAAATTACGTTATTATTATAATAATAGAAACTCTACACATTTAATTTGTAGGAGACTAAATTGATGTATTAATAACCATTTATAGTTTTAGGAGGGGTTCAGTCTTTTTTGTAGTTTTTTTTTATATACTATTTGTAAATTAGATTGAAAGGGACAGCAAGAATCACCTCAATGTAATGATTATAGTGTTTGGAGTGTTAGTTTAATGATGAGAAATGTTTACATTTTGCAATGATCACGCCCCTAGTGGCTGTCTGTAAAGCAGAGATTTAATAATTGGATCTATTTTACATTGGGTGCCATTGCGCTGATGACACATGTTGGGTGTATACTCCTTTGTGAAAAAAACAGGATTAATTGAACACAAGTCATTAAGCTTGATGACTTTACAATAAGATAATAAAAAAAATAAACTTACTTTGTCCTGTGAAAAGCGTTCATACAGATATAAGCTATATCAAATAGGTTTTTTTTTAACCAAAATTCGAATTACATTCACTGATCTTACAACTGCGACCCATTTTCCCCACCCCCCCAAAAAAAGACAGTTTTTATTTAGTTTTTTACATCATACAATATGCTTACATTATTATTGGTAAAATACATGGGAGAGTCATTAATCATCACTAGACATTTTTGCTGGTGTGCACAATAGGAGAACCATTTGTGTTGACAACTTGCTACTTGAGCATAGCAATTAAAAATGGGAAAATATTAACAAATCTTGACCTTTTTTTAAACTTTTATTTTAAAATTGAGACAGTCTTAGTAAGAAAAAATAGAGCTTTCAATAAATGTTTTAAAACAAATATAATCTGGAGCTGACAATAGTTAGCTGCTAGCAGGGGTAGATAAAGACAATGGAATACGAGGCCACAAAGGCCTTGTCATTATCTGTAAGATTCTTTGCAAGTAGTGAGATTGAATACAAAGCAAACGTGTGAAGAAGAAAATAGTAAAAGCTATTAAAATGATAAAGAATTCATCCCACTCAAAAAAATGGAATAATTATGCTGTATTATTTCACACAGCATCCATTAAAAATATGCTTGGGGATGATTTATCTGTTCGAATTAAGAAGCAGATAAATATAAAGGAGGCAAACAAAATAACAGGAACACCTAATAATATTTTAATATCAATATCTCAATGAGGAGCTGTACCACCATTCCCCTCAGAATAGCTCCAGTCCTTCACAGAATTATTTCAATGACGTTTAAGCAATACGGCAATACTTCTCTGGAAATTACATAATTGAATAAAAATAAGGGCATTCTTGGTACCATAACCACACTGTTAGTGACTATGGTGCATGGATTGTTATTGGCTGCTTGGAAATTATTGTGTGAGAGACCTGAGAAAAAAGCAATATATGGCCGTGGACTTATTAGGAATTAGGAATGACCCCTTCCTCATAACCTGACTCCTGGAGTGGAAAATTTTGAG